CCGTTTTATACCTGCGGAACATCCAGGCATGCACATTTATGTGTGAATTCAGCCTAAGATGTTGCTCTCGCTCCATCCTTGATGAGAGAGCCGTAAGAGCTTTGGATCCCTGTGCAATTATTTGCTCAGGAAATCATCTCATTACGTGTCACATTTCTCCTTGGCTGTTACTTTCACATAAGGCCGACTAGATATGATGATGTTATAATGGTAATTATGCCAGGCTCTGGCTGTGACACAGAATCGTTCACCATTCGTGGAGGATTTCATAGAAGGTAGCCGTCATTTCCACCCTGGCTGAAGAGCAGTAATGATTTGTTGGAGATTGTAGTGGTGTTAGTTGCTTCTGAGAAAGCTTGTTCAGCACCTTGGGACCTAATCAGCATGACTCAGCCAGACCTTAACGAGGTTGCTAAAGCAACCCGACATGTCGACTGTATGATCTGGAAGTCGACAAATTATTCCAACCACTTGGGTGTCTTACGTGCCCAATATCGCCGGCGTGGCTCAGCAGAAACCCTAAATAGTGTGGGAGCACAGCGCCAGGTGGGGCATAATAATTCACTTCTGGCCAACAGCTGCATATTGCAGTTTCAAACTATGGAAGATGCACAGCTTGTGGAAGATGTTTCCACCACCTGCGCGTCAACCAAGACTCTTATATAAACCAATAATGGGTCACTGGGCTGGCAGTAACATCCTCTTAGTGGTTCTCGAGCTGAGACTGCAGAAGAGCCTGTTCCTCTCATCTGGGTCTAAAGAGTTTTGCTGTGGGACAAGGTGGTGCTCGGGTAGGGTTACGTGCCAAAGGAAAATTATGGTCTGGCTCGGAGTGGAGAGTGAGAAAGCTTCTCCTCTCCATTTATTTTTATTTTTGGTTCGCGCTCAGCTTGTTGCCAGATTTGTGTGTATGTAAAACACAATCTGGGGTTGGAAGACCATGATTTTGCATTACTCTGCAGTGTGTCCATTTGGAAACAGACGTAGGTGGTCCCAGTAGCGTGGGTATGTATCCACACCTTCCCAGGGACGTGGCAGGTGGGCATATATACCAAGTTTGCAATCGCCACTTCCTTTTTCATTTACAGTGGTGCCTCGCAAGACGAAATTAATTCGTTCCGCGAGTCTTTTCGTCTTGCGATGTTTTTCGTCTTGCAAAGCACGGTCCGTCGCAACTGCGCCTCTTCAAGAGGCTTTAAGAAAAAAGCGCAAGACGTTTTCGTCTTGCGAAGCAAGCCCATAGGGAAATTCGTCTAGCGAAGCAACGCAAAAACCGAAAAACCCTTTCGTCTAGCGAGTTTTTCGTCTTGCGAGGCATTCGTCTTGCGGGGCACCACTGTACCTGGGGCAGGTGCAGGGAGGAGAACCAAACAAGGGACATATTTTCACATCCGGATCAGTGAAATACACTCACCCTTGTGGATGGCAGGATTCAGACTCAATCTAGGTTGAAAGCAGCATGTTGAAGATTGAGAAAATCTACATTTTTTGTGCTATGAACAGATTGGTGTGCCCGCTGCCTATGACTGAAGCTGCCGTCCTGTACATACCTATCTGGGCCCAAATTCCATTGAACTCAGTAGGGCCTACTTCTGCATAAACATGCATAGGATTGCAGTGTAAATAGGTTTACCTTACCCAGACACCTAAATAGTAAAGGGTTTTGTTTTTTTACAAGCACAGCAGAGTAAAAATAAATAAATCAGTTTCGAATGAGTTGGATGGAGTCCTTTGTTTACTGCGTGGCAATCCCTCTGACTTGTAAACTGCATTGGCAGAGAGTTTGAGGCCATTAAGATTCACATTTAATATTTACAAATCCCTATTTATCTCTAAATGCCTTTCTGCCTGTGCTATCAGCGCTCGCCTGCCTTGCCTCTGTGCGTGATGTGTTACGTTGCACTCTGATTACGGTTAGGAGAACCTGCAGGCAAAATCTGGCACAAAAGTGTGTGCACACTTTCCCAAATCATGTAGGCTACTGCCTTAAAGAGTGCAGAGCTAAATGTATGTATTTTTTCAAATATATGTATATATATAACAGGTTTTCAGCGGAACGGAGGTTTGGAATGTATAGCAGGAGCGGATCATCTGCTTATGTTTCCATGATGGGTTTTCCATGAGTCATGAATGCAACAATATGCAGACCAAAGCATGACCATCCTTTGTCACCTGCATTTCTCTGAATTTTTCAATACAGTTCTCTATCCAAGGAATGCATAAGAAAATGAACCTACTGGAGTGATGTGTGCCTAAAAATGCACATAATAGTTAACACACAAAAATGGTTTTTTTTATGGGAAATTGGTTTGCCAAAAAAAGTCTTTATTAGGTAACAATGCATGCAAACATATGTATATTAGAAGAAAATCAGCCTAAAACGCCGATGAGTTTTCATGAGGACTTAAAAAGAAAAGTTGCAATGTGATGCGGAAATGTGGAGAGCTAAACTTAAGATTGCAAAAATGAGAAACAGAGGGAAACCAAAATTGCTTGATTCAGCTATCCCTAAACATGGTTCAGAGAAACAGATAGTGCTGTGGTTTGGCAGAGCAAGGTTGTAGATGCTGAAATGCCGGTGAACTCCAGAATGAACTGGGGTTTTGGCCACTTTGTGATTCCCAGCATGCCTGGGCCTCTACAGAAGCACCTAGGGAGCTTGTAGCCTTCACACTGTGAAAGGGGGTCTTCCCAGCCATCTGGTAAATATGACAGAGGGAACAGTTCTACAGTTTTAGACTCAGGGTTTTATAGCAGCTTGCCTCCTTAGAAAGTGAACAGGGAGAAGGTTATTTCTCTCTCTCTCTCTCTCTCTCTCTCTCTCTCTCTCTCTCTCTCTCATATAATAATAGAACCCAGGGCAATCCAATAAAACTGAATGTTGAAAGATTCAGGACAGGCAAAAGAACTATCTTTTCCACAAAGAACGTAGTTGATCTATAGAATTTGCCCCCAGAATTATTGATTTACATACAGCTTAATGTCAGGGTGACTTCTATGCGCTCCTTCAAGTACGCTGGATCTTAAGTTGTACAGATTTTTTAAACATTAAGGCCAGTACTTCAAATTTGGTCCAGTAATGTGTAGGGTTGAATAAATCTGAGCTGAGGAGTTTGTTTCCGCTATGGCTGTGTTGGCTGGTGGGACACCTAGGGGGTATTCTGGAGGGGCACCATTTGGGAAGGCTGCCTTGGGATGACCTCCCTCTTGTTGTGCACCTTGAGGCCCCACCAATGCCACAAAGCTCAAGTTGTGGGCCCAGTGGTGTGTGTCCTGTTTATTTATTTTTTTAGCTAGAGATTTGGATCCAAACTACAAGAAAGAAGATTCCACCTAAACATTAGGAAGAACTTCCTGACAGTAAGAGCTGTTCGACAGTGGAATTTGCTGCCAAGGAGTGTGGTGGAGTCTCCTTCTTTGGAGGTCTTTAAGCAGAGGCTTGACAACCATATGTCAGGAGTGCTCTGATGGTGTTTCCTGCTTGGCAGGGGGTTGGACTCGATGGCCCTTGTGGTCTCTTCCAACTCTATGATTCTATGATTCTATTCTATGATTCTATGATTTTTATTTTATTTTATTGTTTTAAAAAAACACCCTGTGAGAGGGAGAGAGTTCTTTCCCCTGATTGCTCTGCTTCTAATCTTGCTCCAGGAGGGCTTTGTGATATCTGGGATAGAAGGTTATGTGACCTTCAAGTGTGAACAAGCTGATGGAGGCGCAGTGGAAGGGATAAGCCCCTGAAGTGATTCTGCAAGGAATGATTTGGTGACAAGGTGCTGAAAGGAAGGCTGTCAAATTCACAGCTGTCAGGCCATAGGTACTTGGAGATGGGGCTGCAACAAGGGGGGTGGGTAGTCAACACAGTGCCCTCCAGATATTGATAGGCCCCAGTTCCCACCATCCCTGAGTCCATTGGCCTTTCTGGTGGGGCTGGTGAGAGCCCAGCTGACTCTGGCTCCAAAAGCTGAGGCCACTGAGGAGGCCCAACACCATCTTGTCAGTGAGTCCTGGAAGATCTGCTCTCCCCTGCCTTGCCTTGCCTCTTTCAACCTACAAAAGTTGAGGATGCTGAACAGACTCTTAGGCTGGGACATTGTTTGGGTTTTTTTGTTGGAGTTTTTGTTGTTGCTGTTATTTTGAAGGAACCTTTAGAAAAGTCCCGTATGCTCAGAGACTTTGCACCTGTCCATTGGGAGAGATAGGAAGCCCAGAACACTTGTTCTTTAGATGTCCCTTTTATGAAGAGGCATGTAGTAAGACCATTGATCCCCTACTGGTGAGGCTCGCTGACCTCCCGCAAAAGCAAAAAATTGACCTTTTCCTGTTAGGCAAAGATCAGAAGATGACCTGGATGGTCGCCAGATTCTGTGTACAGATCTGTAGGCGCAGACCATCTCCCTTCTCAAACTAATCCGTCATGAAAATCCCCAAACTCGGTTTCATGGGTGACTCTGGGTCAACTCCCTGCGATAGTTTATTGTACATTGCTTTTAAATTTATTGTTGTACATTGTTTTAATTGTCTGTTTTTCTTCTGTGACTGTACCCCCAAGTGTGTTTTATAAGCTGGTCTCCGACCGTAATAAATTATAATTTAATAATTTATCTATCTTATAAATTATCTATCTTATTTATCTATCTTATTTTGATATTATTTTTTTGCATCTTTATTTTTATCTTTACGATTTATGTGGCAATTTTTCAGTTTGGTTGCGTACATTTTGACATGTTTTATTCATTGTTTATGACTCCTGTGTTTGCAATGATGTAGATCGTTCCGTGCTGTAAGCTGCCTTGAGCATGGTTTTAACTAAGGAAAGGCGGCGTACAAATAGAACGAAGATGCGGACTGCCACAGGTCCCCCAGCCCCTCCTTGAAAGTAAAAAATGGCCACATTCACACCATGCATTTAAAGTACCCGAATACCATCTTAAGCTGTCATGGCTTTCCCCAAAGCATTCTTGGAGCGGTAGTTTTTTGAGGGTGCTGAGAGTTGTTAGGAGGTCCCTATTCCCCTCACAGAGCAACAATTTCCAGAGGGTTTAATACAGGGAAACCTGTGAATTGTAGCTCTATGAGGGAAACAGGGGCCTCCCAACATCTCTCAGCAAACATAACAAACCAGAGCTCCCAGAATTCCATGCAGAAGTCCATGGCTGCTTAAAATTGGTATCATCGTGCTTTAAATGTGTGGTGTGAATGTGGACCACTACACCACACTTATGGATGAACACACTGCAGAGCTGATGTGGGCTAGCAATAGAGAGACCAAGTTGTACTGTGGACAGCATAGTGTGCCTTGGTGGGAGGTTGGGGCTTGCAACTCCTCCAAAACCCCCACCCCTCTGTGGGTCAGAAAGCTGACAAGATCTGTGGTCGGCTTCTAGATTTCACCTAAATCAAAATTTCACGACAACTTTGGATGTCACTGCTTGGGGGAAACCTCTGAGGAATTTTGAGTGGCGTTTTGGTAACAATGTTTAGTGAAGATGTCCAAGGTTTTTTTTTGGGGGGGGGCCTCTTGTGTAGACCATGGGGGATGAAAGGAAGTAAAAAAACCGAGCCAGCCAGCAGGTTCTTAGCAGGGCATTCCTGGCAACCGCAAGGAGTCAGTGGGCCCAAAGAAATGCCTTGCCTTCTAGATTCAAACTATGTGTGGTTCCTCGCTGGTGCGATTCTTTCTGTTAGTGTTTTTCTTAATGCAGAGCAGCCGTGGAGGCTGTGATCAAGGACAGGAGGAATTCTGGGGAGTGGGGCAGCTCAAATTTATGCTCAAATTCCTGCACACACACACACACCAGCAAGGTACATTTCCACCCATGGTAGAAAATGTTTTGGGAACAGTTCTGGGTACTTTTCCTGTGATGCTTATTATCCTTAAAACACACACCAAACAAATATATTGAAAAATTCAGTCTGTTTGTTTGTTGGCGTGTAAAATTCCAAGGCGATGTTGAACCTTATATTTTATTCTCACTCATAAAATCTGACATCCCGCTTAAAATACAACAGTAGTCCAGGACAATAGATGTACACAGCAATCTTTAAACTGTATTTTTTGTATATGCAAAAGTGCTTTTATGAAATTTTATTTCATTTTTACATATGTAGATGAAACTTTACTTTTGCTTTTGAAAACCCCGAAACGAAGAATATCAAGCACATATAAAACTTAAAACAGCTGTTCTTGAAACGAAAAGCAATCTTCTTTCCCGCAGTCTTGTGTTAAGGGTCTGGTGGCAGGGGAGGGGCCTGCTTGACCCTTTCGCTCCCTCCTGTTTGCTGAAAACTGGCTCTACTTGCTGTTTTCTCACTGTGGAGAGAGATAGAAGTGGGATTGCTCAAATAGCTGGCAGGGAAAGGGTTCAACAAGCCCCTCACTTTCCCTGATGCTGCTCCTCCACTTACAGCCTTGCTTTAAAAATAACAACCACGACCCTTCAAGGGAAAAAAGTTACGCGACCCGATTGTCACATGCCGTTTCAGCGCGAGTCCTTTTTTTTGTTTGTTTCCTCAGCCTCTTTGGTATCACCCAGAGGCACAAGAGCAGTTGGGTATCATGTCCGCCTGTCGTCTGGTCTCCATCAGGGTGTTGGAGCTGATGGCCTGGAAGCTTTGGAAAGTTTTTTTTTCCCCTTTTCAGTTGGCTGATAAAAAGGGCAGCGAGCATTCTCAGTATTACACGTTCTGGAGCACCAATCTTATCGGCTCCACTTAGGGTGCATTCTGTATGTACGCTGCAGGCCAGCAGTCAAGAGTGCCAAGCTAAACTATGTGGAGCAAGATTCCTGGCTTTGCACAGGGGATGCGTAGCGGGCGGCGAGCAGTTGCCGTATCACGTTGCGGGTCATGGAACCTGTCACATTAGCAGTGGGACGGGGGACCCTTTTTTCAGGGCCATGTTCCCTTCTGGGAAAGCTTCTGGGGGCCAGAGGCAGACGTGGGCAGAGAAAGGAATGTAGGTTTTACCTTTATGCAGCCAGCAGGTTTCTGCACACACCCCTCTCTGTCCTGTATCCTGGGAGACATTCTTGGAGTTCCAAGGGCACATTCAAACCAGGCCAAAACATTCAAACAGGATGCAAAGTAGGGCTGGGCAGGGGGTGTGGCCTGACAGAGGGGGTGTGGCCTGGGGCAGAGTCTCAAGGGCCAGAAAGAAAGTCCCCAAGGGCCACATTTGGGCCCCTGGACCTGAGGTTCCACACCCCAGTTTTAGGAACTGTGGAATCTGACTGGCTTCCTCTTCTGTGTTCTGAAAAACCCCCACAACCCTTCATTTTAGATGCTTTTTCTCTTCCCTTCCAGCGCAGCCAGTTCATTTAAATTTTTTTGCAATGCTGCCAAGGCAGGATAAGATGCTCAAGCGTCTTCATCAGAAAGAACACAGAAGGTCTCTGATTGTGGTGGTGTCAGAAGGAGCATTTTAATTAATCTGTGCGTCTCCTGACTGTAGCCTGATTCATCATCGCAGCTATTAGGCTTGGCTGAAGCCATGTGGAAGGGCCTGCTTTTGTGGCTAATAGCTGGCCCACACAACCCGTGGCTACCTAGAGGTCTTGCTCTTGATTTGTTGGGTATGGAACGAGCCTGCAAAAGGAGCTGCTTGCTTTTCCTTTCTAAAGAGACTCCGGTGTTTCCCACCGAAGCTTGCGTCTTATTGTAGAATCTTAGCGTTGGAAGAGTCATCTGGCCCAACCCTCTGCAATTCACTTCTCCCAGCCTTTTTTCTGGGGGAAGGAGAGAGGACAATCCCCACCTGCAGCAGGCCAACTTAGAACCATAGAATTGTAGAGCTGGAAGGGACCCTAATGATCATCTAGACCAACCCCTGCAATGCAGGAATCTTTTGCCTTGCCCTGGATCTGACATCATATAGTGTGGGGCTGGAGGGAAATAACCTCGCAGGGCCAGAACAGAAGCCCTGGTGAACCTGATTTGGGCAGTGGGATGAAGGTTCCTGCATCCTTGCCTTTGAGAGCAGGACACACCCACCCTGCAAAACCCACCCACACGGAACCTTAGTCAGTAAAACAGGTTTTCTCATCCCAATGTGCTACAACTGCAACACTTGATTAAAGCTTATGGATTTGGGGCAGGGGGAGAAACACATAAAGTCACATTAAGCAGCCTTTGATGCTGCAGTAGAAATCCATAAAGGCTTTGTAAACGGCTATGGGCTGGCGGGATTCATATACGAAGGTAAGTATTGTTTAAAATAGATTGGAGAGAACTGTTCGGTCTCGATGAGCAAAGTGTACCGTGGGGAAACGGCTGTCCAGTGGGATCAATATATTGAAGGTAGTAGCCCAGGCAGAGTGCTTACTGAGAAACACTCCTGATGAAAGGGAAAGCTAGGCAGCCATTTCCACCTATGAATAGGCTTTATCTTGCATCTCCCCCCCTCTCTCTCTCCATAGATATATTTTAAAAATTGCTCGGAACCGTACTTTTAGAGCTCGCATTGATTTGCAAAGTCCCTGAAGCAGATGTATAGAGGGAACTCTTGGGAGATCTTTTGTCGGGGAGCTGTGAGATTCTGATCTTGGGTGGCTCAGTTCAACCTAACTCAAATTATTACATTATAAAAGGCAAGAGAATGCAGGTAGTAGGGGGTGGGAGGGGGTGGTGGAGAGAAACATACACACACACACAGAGAGAAAGAGAGAGAATGGAAGCAGGGCCCACCCCATCAGATCTGCTTAAAGACTAGCTGCCTTTGGCTCTCAACTGCCACCAGGAAGCAGCCATTCCATAAGGATGTAGCAGAGAGGGGAAAGTGGTCAACATTTTCTAGCATTACACCACTGAGTTGGATTTGTGGTGCTGCAGAGGGGTGGTTTGGTGCTTGTTGGTTCAGCAATTTGGTTTTTTTGGATATTGAGCAATAGGCCCAGCTCACTACAAGGCAGATCTAAAAAAAAGATAGTAGTATAAGTACTGATAACTGGGAAACACTTATCTGCGAGCACCCCAACTGGCGCCATGGACTTCGAAGAAGCACAATCAGGGCGAAAAGGAGAAGCGAGCTAAGAGGAAGGCATGTTTGGCAAACCCTCACCATGATCAACTCCCATCCGGAAACCTATGTCCCCACGGTGGAAGGACGTGTGGATCCAGAATTGGCCTCCACAGTCACTTATGGACTCACTGTTAAGACCATTTTCATGGAAGACAATCTTACTTGGCTACAAGTGATAACCGAAGAAGGAAGCAGAGAGGGAGAGAGATGAGAAGCAGGGCTACTCCGTCAGTTCAGCTGACTTTGGTTGTCCCTCTCCCTCAACTGCTATCTTGTCCTTACGTCAGGCTGCAGCAGAGGGAGAGGTCCAAGATGGGGTCACCTCACTGACTCTGCTGAGAGGCCAGATCCTTTTGGCTGATTGTTTCCCCGAAATGTCTCCATCCCAGCTTTCAGGGTTTCCCTGAGTCATGGGCTAAGTCAGGTGCACACAAAAGTCTTGCAGGACATCCTGGTCCCCCTGTTGGGCACCTTGTGGACGAAGAAGGAGATGCTTAATTTTTTCCCTTGTACTCTGCCTTGAACTCCTTAGAAGGAAAGGTGGGGAATAAATGATGACAATGATGAAACATATTTGTTCATCATCATCATCATAAATAAGAAGTAAGTCTCTTTGTGTAGGGGCTTGCATTTAATAATATTTACACCCTGCCCATCTGGCTGGGTTGCCTCTGCCAAAAAAGGAAGAGAGAAATGCAAAGATGAAATAAGTAAAAAAAGTGCTCCACTTTCACTTTGTGCTCAGAGCATGATGCGCCCAGAACAAGCCACGTCTCAGGGCAAGCAGCAAAAGTTCATGCAGATCTACCCAGGGTCTCCTTTACTGGGCAGTTGGAGTTACCATGACTTTGTTTAGTAAAGAAACAAGAGTGTTGCAATACCCCCTTTCTCTCTCCCCCGCCCCCCTGCAATGGAGCATTTTCCCAGGATGTTTTGGGCATTGTTGCCATTTTAACACCTGATACGGCTCGTGCTTTATTGCCCTCCCGTTGTCGGAGGGCCAGAGTCGCTGTCTGCTTTGCATTCCCCGATTCTTCGGCGGCTCCCCGGGATACACTTCCCAACTTCTGGCTCACCTTTCAGAAGCGCCTGTAAAGAACAGACAATAATAAACACGCAGCCTCTTACCCCACAGAGCAACCATCTGATATTTAGGAGTTTAAGAGTTCAAAGAGGATTAAATCATCACTGGCAATGAGAGAGAGAGAAAGAGGAGAGGAGAAAAAAAAACAACCCACCATGTTCTTGCTTTTCAGAGGTGGAATTGGCAGCAGCTGTTCTAATATTTCATGCACTGAAAAAGATGGGAGCTTTGATGGGGAGGTGGTGGTGGAATCGCTCAAGAGTTAGCCTCCTGGCTACAAATGGAATGGGCCTTTATTCCTTGGGAGAAAGTAGGTGCAGCAGAAAGTGTGTGTGTGTGTGTGTGTGTGTGTGTGTGTGTGTGTGTGTATGTGTGTGTAAACAATGCTACATACACAAAATTATGGCTGCTCACACACCCCTGGGTTTATTCATCTGGAATATTCACCAGTTCCTGATTCTGCGCTGCAACCATTCATGCATGTTTGCTCCCCCCTCCTGATTCTCTGGGATGTAGGGAGACCTGCTTCCTAGGCAATGGTTGGTGGTGCCCATTGGGGCTGGTAGGGCGGAAGGCAGGGAGCTGGGCAGTAGGTGGCGCCATAGCCAATGGCCAGTAGAATTGGTTAATTCTAGATTATCTCTTGAGTTCTACAAGGGCAAAACTGAGTCCAAGGAGAAGGTGACAGCCAGTGCTACCCCTTGGACTGGTTGTAAGTAACAAGGGAAGACTGCGGCTGTCTGAGGGCCCCATTCATCCTAATGGACAAGACTCCACTGTTTCTACTTACCATAGCACAGTCATCACCTGCTAGACATTATGGCCTATAACTCCCACCAGCCCCATCCAACAAAATTAGAGGGCACCTGCTTGGCAAAGGTTGCCATAGTAACCCGGTAGCGAGCACCAAATCATCCCTTCATCGACATGCTCTGTGATACACAAGAAAGCTGGGATCAAAACAAGTTTAGGGACCTAACATAGTACAGATGGGGCACTTTCAAAGGATCCGGGGGTGGGGTGGGAATCTGCAACTAGAGAAATGTTCAGATATTAACCTCATTTCCCTGCAACTCAGAAGGACACACATTGTGTGTGTGTGTGTTTACATGTGTATAGCATAAATTAGTACATTTTTATTTTCACAATGCATCTCGTTCCCAAAGTACTAAAATATTCAGAATCCCAAATAAGCCTGAGTTGGCTGGCAAGCTTCAGTGTAAACTACAAACCTAGTACAAAACAGGAGTATTTTCCAAAACTGGAAACTTTTTGGGCACTATTAATTCATCGCATCTGTGGGTGCTTCCTTATGGGAGTTTAAAACTTTAAAAAAGGGTGGGTTTTGCTGGAGACAGGTTTTTTTTTAACGTACTGGATATTCCCCAAAAAGAGAGAATCTGGATTAATCCCTCCGTAAATACCCACCTGGAAGCACCATGTAGCTAAATAGTCTGGAAGTTCTCTTCTCTGAGAGCCAGTGTGGTGTAGTGGTTAAGAGCGGTAGTCTCATAATCTGGTGAACCGGGTTCGATTCCCTACTCCTCCACATGCAGCTGCTGGGTGACCTTGGGCTAGTCACACTTCTCTGAAGTCTCTCAGCCTCACTCACCTCACAGAGTGTTTGTTGTGGGGGAGGAAGGGAAAGGAGAATGTTAGCCGCTTTGAGACTCCTTAGGGTAGTGATAAAGCAGGATATCAAATCCAAACTCTTCTTCTAAGTTTCTTCTTCTGTCTCTATTTCTCCTCTATGTCTCCTCTCAAGAGGTGGTCATCTGCCTGCTGACATGACCTAACTGTGGCTTAGAAACCCACATTTGAGGACCACCTGCATTGCAGCAAAGCCCTGCTCCCCCTTGCACAAGGGTTGCATCCAATATTTGTCATAGTGGACCCATCAAAATCAATGGGCCCATGTTAATTTCAATGGGTTTCTATTGTTAACATTGGATATGACTAGGTATTTCACCTGGTATTCATTGCGTGCATCAGTTTCTGTTCTGTTGCAGTTCAGCTTCTGTTGTGGCGAAATTACACAAGTTACATAATTACATTGTTAATGACTATTATTCTTATTAAGTGTTCTTCCCACCTGCCCTGCTTCCAAAGGAACCCCATTGTCACCTTTTCCTCAGTCTGTACCACTGCCCCAAGGGAGAAAGCAAACTCAGGGTAGCTGAGTGGCTTTGCATTCAGAAGACCTCTGGGTAGGGATGGGAAAAGACTCCTTGGAGAACCGCGGCCGGTCAATGTAGGCAATAATGAGCTACATGGATCAATGCTTAGTTTTTCTGCTCCTCCTCATTGCTCATCTCCTTACTTGCTAGCTTAGAGAGAGCAAGTGAACAGGCATCAATAGCAAGGACGGGCGACAGCTAGGAGGCATCAGGAGTTGATAGTGAGTCCCCTATTGTAGCATGGGCCCCATCAGGCCTTAAAATGATGCCAACCCCTGGCGTGCTTTGTTGTTGTGCGCTAGTAAGGGACTGATTTTCACAGTAAGAATTCCAGAAGCAGAGCCCAGAGTGGGACTGGAGAGCTTTGCAAACTGCTGAGGATCCTAGCAGCGTGCATAAGAATGCTGCCGTCTCCCTTCTGCATTCATGTTGCTCCCAAATGAGTAATTGCTGCCCAAGATCTGCACTTTCCCTCCCTCGAGCTTTGCACCCACCCAGAATCTGTGGCAGGAAATACACTGTCTGTTGTTGTCACGGTAGCTCTTGTTTGCCGGAGCGCTGAGAAACCGCCATGGCGATAACGACGACTAATGAGTTTGCAGCCTATCTCCTCTGTGATAGCAGCAGCAGCTGCCGGCAGGTCCCTGTGACATTCTGGAGTTGTTCTGTGAGTCGGCAGAAAAACTAATCCCTGTAACGGAAGAGAAGCATGCCTCTTTGAGGATCAAAATCATGGGGGAATCTCTCTGAGATAAAAGCACACATAGAATGCTGTTCAGTTCTCTGGGATACCCACAATTCTGCACAAGTACGGAATTTAGTATAAGGCACTTCATTTAGCCTCCTGAAAATTTTGCCTTTAGTTTTCCCCGTTCTTTTATTTTAAAAGAGCACAGCTATGGTCTTGAAATTAAGCTTGGCAGCATGTGATTTTCAGACACCCAAGGAGAGAGGGGGAAGGTTAAGGGTCGGGGCTTCAGTACTGCCGACATGTTTCACTTACAGCAAAATTTAAGTTGAAAATCTTGCTGTAGGAATTTCAAGGGAAGCAATACAAATGTGGTTGGATCAGTACATTTCCTCAGGTGGGATTCGCTCCTCCATCCTTGTTGTAACTCCCAACTGCGGGAAGCGAAAGAAATTACGCAAAGGAAGCAAAATACGCACAGGTTGCAGAATATATACAGGTTGCAGAATCAAGCTTTTCTTGGTGCTGAACTACAGAGGTGCATCTGTTCCATTTATGCATTTATTTGGGAATGCAGGGGATCCACAGTGCCAGCTGAAGGGCCGCCTTACTTTTCCTCACTTCCATTTTAGGTGAGGCTTGGAAAGGTATTTTCCCCCTGGAGAAGCAAAGAGGCCAATAAGAAAAGTCCTAGAGCAAATTGTTGAGGAAATCTTGCATCCCCCGCTCTAGAGCTCCACCTGTGGTGAAGCCGCTCTGAGCTTTCTCTTTCACATCATTGATGGGAAGTTACTCCACTTGTGCAAAGGAATTGTAGTTGAGTGTGGGAACACCACACCCAGACACACAAATTAGACTTGTGTACATGAATTGGGTCAAAGAAGCAAAAACTTGGTTCATTCAGCAATGAGGAAGGAAAGGAAAGGCAAATTCGAAAGACATTTGGCACAGCCTTTGGGGCCTTCGTTTTTGCTCGGCACTGCTGGTAGGGTGGTCCAAAATTAAAGAATGAACTCCATGGCAGAGTGAGTCCACCTTTAGCCCAGAGCTCTAAGCCACTTTTCTCATTTGGTTGTTATTTATTAAATTTCTATTACTCAACACTGATGCTCTCATTTGATACATTGGAATGACCCAGTCACACATGGTGGAATGACTTGCTCTCAGAAATCTCCCACTGCATTTCTGTGTTCATAGCTCTTCCAGACACACCTCTTCCTGATTTTTTTCCAGGTATAATAGAGAAGCTCCTTCCAGAATGCCTCTTCCTGTTCTTCAATAGATAACATGATCCTGGCATGACACTTCCTGGTCTCTTTGTATGCAGTAGAGAAGCTCCTCTAAGTATGCCTTTTTTCGTGTGCAAGAGGTAAGCTCCATGCCTCTTCCACGAGAAACGTGCCTTTCATTTTGATGCAGAAAAACAACAACACTGCACTGCAGGTCTGAGAAGTTTGAAAAACCACAGAGTGGGATTCTGTTTCAACTCAGGCATGTTGATTTTAAGTCTCCCGCACGTTCCTTGCCTCACTGACGGCTTTGTTAATTAAAGCAAGGTTAGCCCGATCCAATTCATGCTTTAAGTGACTGTTTAACAGAGACGGTTTTGCCACAGGGATGTCAGCTGTGGATTTTGTCTAATTAAGGGCCTAATAGACGTGTCACTTTGCCTTAGGTGGGCATTTATAACAAGCAAGTCTTCCCATGGCGGCTGTGAAAACGAGTGCTGGAATCTGTCCCTCTCGACTCTTCTGATTCAGAGGCTCTGTGAAGCGGGCTTGGGAAACAGTTTGCAGATAGGAATCCTCTGCAGTCGTGGAGGCTGCCTGGGCACCGGACCCCAAGGGGTTAATGTTGTGTGGCAAATGATCGCATCTTGTGGGGCTTGATTGCTTTTAATTAAAAAAAAATTTTTAAAGGATTTATGTTGGGATTAAGTGGGATAATTATTGATTGATCTCTGCCTTGTAAATTGAAGAGCATTTGGATTAATCACTTTTTAAGTAGGAAATCGCTCTCTGCTCTTTCGACAAGGGAGCCTGTTCCCAAGCCCTCTTGACCACTTTGCTTTCCCTGAAAGAGAAATCAAATCCTGCCACTCCATCGCTTGCTCTATAGCTTTCTCATTGCTGCAACTCCAGGAATCGATTGCAGGGATCTCTTCCTGGGACAAGTGGTCCCTATCTATCACCGACCTTCCAGCAATCAGCAATGGGTACCTTGAGTTCAGTGTAGCCTTGCTCACAAGCAGAGGCTGTATATTCTGGTCTCTCTCTTCCTGGTAAATCCCCTTCTCCGCATTTTGCCTTATAAGGGAGATATATTGGGGATGCCCGTCAGTTAACTCTGTGCTGGAACTGTCCTTAAAATAGGTATTCCTTCGATTAAAAAAAAGGAATTAGACCTTGTTTTTCGTTATAAAACAAACTCAAATCAGATTACAATAAAATATGTGAATGCAAGTTCGGGTTAAAAAGAGAGAGAGAGTTCAAATTACAATTTAAAAACTCAATTCAAATGACTAGAATCACTTCCATGCATTCATAGTGCAAGTCTATGCACATCAATGCAGAAGCAAGTACCATTGAGTTCAATGGGACTTACTTCCAGGTGAGTAGGAGAGAAAATGCGGTCTCCTAGACGGCCATCTCCCAGGTATCCTGCATTTAAGTTGCAAGGAATTGATAGTGAGTTCAGCCAGATCCATTATGAGATAAAACATCCTGTTAAATAAACGAGGGAGGAGAGGAATAATTGCTTAATGCTTCAAAAGCTACTGCAGGACAGATGTGGCAGGTCTCCCTCGCGAGGGAATCCCACCGACAGGGGCTCGTCATTGAAAAAACACACGGTTGCTAGTCATTAGCTCAGCCTCTCTACTGGAAGCCAGCCATTTGCAAGGACAGTCACTCAAGGCTGGGCCACCTCAGTCTTGGAAGTCCAAGGCTGAGGTTGAAGAGGAGTCTGGAAATGGGTTCCTATGGCCAAAGCTGCGAGGCCTGTAACTTTGAGCACAGCAGACAGAGGTTTACTGTTTGCAGTGGGACTCATTTTTCCTGCACAACTTGATCCTTTGCTGGTTTTCTTGGTTGTCCCTTGGCTTGGTCCCCTGCTCTTCCCCTTAGCTCTTACTGCTGGCTTGAGCCCCTGGTCTTCAACCTATACCACCCTCACAGGCATACTTAGTAGGGAAGAGAGACAGTGAAAATGGTTGTATTCTGACAGGCCATTGGGAATGGAATGGTGTTTTTTTTTTAGGAAAGGGCTTTAATAGTTCTGTGCTTTTTTTATTTTTACCATTTTTAGCACGTGCATTTTAGCAGATTTGTTTTCATGTTGTATTTAATTCTGATTGAGTTTAATTGCTTTTTAATTACCGTATTTTTTGCTCTATAAGACTCACTTTTTCCCTCCTAAAAAGTAAGGGGAAATGTGTGTGCGTCTTATGGAGCGAATGCAGGCTGCGCAGCTATCCCAAAAGCCAGAACAGCAAGAGGGATTGCTGCTTTCACTGTGCAGCGATCCCTCTTGCTGTTCTGGCTTCTGAGATTCAGAATATTTTTTTTCTTGTTTTCCTCCTCCAAAAACTAGGTGCGTCTTGTGGTCTGGTGCGTCTTAGAGAGTGAAAAATACGGTGTTATCTTTTTGCATTTTGTCTGCATTGTTCTAATTTGCATAGGCTTCCTTGAGTCCCAGTCTGGGGAAAAGGCAGGATGGTGATGATAAATAATAATAATAAAAAATAATAAATAGTGCTAATACAGTTACTTCCCACTTGATGACTGCCTACCAAGACATCCCCCCTTTCACAAGGCTTCACAGGAAGTTGGATTGTCCCAACTTTAAAGAACATTACCTTGGAGAAGATGATGTAACCCAGGACATAAACTAGTTTGGTTGGAGGGGGAGCCCCAAAAGAAACTGCTGGGTAGTGGGTGGTGCTTAGCAGAATCCTGCAGTTTTCCAGCTTTTGGGACTGGCTGGATCAGTAAATCACTGGCATGCCTTCCAGAGAAGGGTTTGGATTTGATATCCCACTTTATCACTACCCTAAGGAGTCTTAAAGTGGCTAACAATCTTCTTTTCCCTTCCTCCCCCACAACAAACACTCTGTGAGGTGAGTGAGACTGAGAGACTTCAGAGAAAAGTGTGACTAGCCCAAGGTCACCCAGCAACTGCGTGTGGAGGAGCGGGGAATCGAACCTGGTTCACCAGATTACAAGTCCACTGCTCTTAACCACACTGAAAGACAGAGAGAAACACAATGACTTGCTCATTGCAAACATCCTTTTTGCTGGCAACCTCAGGCCAGGAAACGGAGGGCTGTGTCTGACTCAGCAGTATAAGTCATCATTGCGTTGTGTGCACATACATACAGACACACACACACACACACACACACACACACACACACGCCATGCCTCGCAACTTGACTGCCGTTGATCCGTGAAGAGGATGCTGGGGCCATCTCGCATGACTGCAGCTGTCCTTCCCCGCGAAGGCGAGAGGCATCCAAAACATATCTGCATCCCACTTGGCAGGGATTATCAAATGACACCTTGGGCTAAAAGCGATCCCTTGGCAGAGGCAAGAAGTTCAGGGTCCAGTGACCCTTGTCACAGAGCATGGCCCCCTCTGCTCCCCGGCAAAAATAAAATCAAAACCCTTTTGGTTGAGTTGCACGGAGAGAAAGGAAACACCATTATTATGTTGAAGTCCCAGTGTTTCTCAAACTCTCCCGCTGTTGTTGGGCTACAACTCCCATCATCCCTAGCTAGCAGAATCAGTAGACAGCGATGATGGGAATTGTAGTCCAACGACAGACCCAAGATCGAGAAACACTGTTTAAGCAAACAAACATGACCGACATTTGAAAGCCCTCGTGTTGCAGGTTGATTCGGATGAGCATTGGCACTGGTTTGTCATTCCAAAGTGACAAGCTGCGGAACTGGGACCCTAGCTCAGTATTGGAGCACCTGCTCTTTGCATCCACAAATTCCCTGGTTCTGTTCTCAGCACCACCCATTAAAAGATCTCAAGTAGCTGGTGATGGCAAGGACCTCCTCTGATCAAGAGCCTGGAGAGCTGCTGCCAGTCAGGGTGGGCATTGTGAGTGCCGTGTTACGGCCAGTATATGGCAGCTTGATAGGTTCAGTAGAAGGCACCCTGGACTACAGCTCCCATCAGCTTAGGCCATGGTTGGTAAGACCAATGGGAATTGTAGTCCAAAATACGAAGTTGGGGAAGGCTGATTTAAGGGCTGGCAAGCAGCTGCAGAATACATGCACTTAGGCCTTAGGCCTGTGAAGGTACAATGCACAGTCCCAGCCCCTATGACTGGCAGACATTGTGAAGCTTTTGTTATTGTGACCTCTCTTTCAGAGACATGGTGGGTATCGCCAGTACTGTTTTTCTAGAAAAAGAGGTGCCAGAACTCACCATTAATGGCTCCCTTGTTCTCTTATAATGGCAATGGCACCCACCTGAGAAGTGCCAGAACTGAAAAAAAGCCCTGGGTATCTCTACTAGACTCCTGTTGTTAAACCTTGGGTTGCCCAATGTTGTCGGACTACAGAACCATCATCCCTAGTCAGCTTAACCAATGGTCAGGGATGAGCTGTAGTCCAACAACTTATGGGGACCCAAGGTTGAAGAACAACGCACTGGACCATTTGAATCACATAACCACATTTCTAGGGGTTGGCCATCACTAGAATGAAACATGGCTGTTTTACGCATTCAACACCGAACGCCCCAAGGATGGATCTTTTGGAACATTGGACTTTGAACAGCAGGTCCCCGCCTCCATTGGAAGGGGGAGATACAGACTCGGCAAACCCTTTGATGCTCTGGAGTATTATTATTTTTTATCCTGGTCCATGCAGTCTCATGTTAAAATAGTAATCAAGACCACAGTCTGGTTGAGAGCGATATACACTGAAGCTCAGTTTGGGTCATTGGAACGTAAATCCTAATCGAAGCACAGGAAGCTTGTCTTATACTGAGTCAGATCTTTGGTCCATTTGGCACAATATTCCCCACTCTGACAGGCAGAGCTCTCCAGAGTTTTATGCAGGAGTCTCTCCCAACCCTACCAAGTAGGTGCCAGAGATTAAACCTGAGGCCTTCTGCACCAGGGAGTAAATGCTCTCCCAGTGAACTACAGCCCATCCTGGCCTATCTATCTCTCCAGTGGATTGTGGCCCAAAGCTGGGGGTGTTTGTTTGTCTGTTTCTAAGCACATTTTTTTCCTTTCATGGGCAAAAGCCCTACCTGTCCTCGGCTCCCCACGGGCTCCGCAGCCTGACCGTAAACATTTTCCTCATATTCCTATAAGTAGCTTAACTATATCCAGTCAAACATAAAACCAGACAAAAGGGATTAAAATATTATCCTAAGGCAAGGGGAAAATTGAAGGCATTTACCTGAAATCCATACTGAGCTGGCATCTCCGCTGTGCTGATGGAGCAGTGTCTTTCTCTCCCGCAAAGGGCTTCGCAAGGGTCCTGCGCTCAAGTAGGTTCCACGGGTATTAACCACAAAGAGGACTATTCAGCACTGCGGCACCTGCCATGCAGTGACAACAAGGCCTCTCTCTCCCCACAGGTTTTAATGCACCCACAAAGCAGCACCAGCTTACTTTTTTCTCCCAACGCCAGGGGTTGGGGAACCTGTGACTCCAACTCCCAAAACAGCCCAAGACTTTGTAGCCAATATTCATTTACTGCAATAGTTGGCGATGGTGGGAGCTGGAGTCCGTAAGATGCATGAAGCATAGCAAGCTCAAAATGTTCCATTTAGAACAATCTCAAACAAGCCAGTGGGTGGTTTCATTTAGCTGAAGAGAGGAGGGATATAATGCGGGGCAGCCCAGTCCGTGTTTTA